TGCCCGCATGCTTGCGCTCGCATCACGGACTGGGAGAGAGGGCTCTTCTGCAGGCTGCCCCTGCTAAAGGGTGTCACTGCCTGTGCGGATTCGGCTACAGACATATCGGAAATGAATTCTTAATCCTGTCTTTGACAGGAATGCAGAGTCAGCTCCTAGCTGCTCTGTACTGCAGTTTGGGAATCTCAGTTTTTAGGTGTGTTGTGATGTTTTTGTGTAAATGAAAATAAAACTGATGCACGGTTTTCTTTTGTTTTCTGCATTTAGTAAGGAATGTAGAAATTCTGCTTCTTGAACATAAGTATTGAAGGCTTTCACCAAATGTAGATTTCAGATCTGAACTTCCAAGTTCATTAATCAATATAAATTGTCTTGCTGTTAGGATAATTCTGTAAGTAGACTACAGAGCATGAAATGGTGTAGTTCATAGAAGATTAAATGATTCTTTTTTGGATAAGTAAAGTTTATTTAAAACTAATTAAGACGACAGTACTTTGAACTATTATTTCCAGTCCAGTTTTTTTATTTGAAACCAAGGAAACCAATTTTCATTTTCAGGAATGAGTCTGCCTAGTATGTGTTTTCTATCTGATTTTTTTTTTCTGAGAAGGTTACAGAAAATTACCCACAATATTTGTACTGAGTCAGATATCTCAGCAGTAGTAAAAATTAATACTATGACTACTTCCATACTTAATTTTTAATACAGAGTTGTATCTGTAGCATTTATATGGCATGTCTGTCTGGGATAAATATTTTTAGACCTACTGTTCCTGTGAGATTTTCTATAGATTTTCTGTTTGCTCAGAAAAATAATCTAGAAGCTTTTAAAGGAAACTTGGAGTCAGCTGCTGATCCGGTTTAGTACTATTGTTAATTTTTTACTAGGTTTTTAGTAGATTGTAGTGCACCCTGTAGCTGTGTTTTGTCCAAGCTTTAAAGTGATAATTTTGACGGCAGGAACTAAGTTTAAAGTTTTCATTCAGGCAGGTATGTGTCTGTGTGAGTAGGTGCATAGGCAGACATAATCTTTTGGGGTTTTTTTAGGTATTCATTTGTGGTTTCATTTGAATAGTTTGGCAACACATAATTCCCTCCAATAAAAAATTGACCTTTAAAATTTTTTCATTTCAGATAGGAAAGTAGAGTATTCAAGTTCAGTGCACCTGTATCATTTGCTTATATTTAAGATATATTGAGTTTTTTGTTTGTTCGTTGTATTTCATAGGTTTGTCTTAATGAGGGGGTGTAGAACGATTTTTGTCCAGTTTGTTAGGGAAGCAAGCCCAGCTAGCTGTTGTTTCTTTTGCCTCTCCATAACTGTCAGGTCCGTAGTGTAAATATTAATCTATAATATTTTAAAAGTTATTTTTAAACTGTTTACTTTTTACTTTTAAATTGTATATGATTGTGGCTAATTGACTAACCCAGACTTTAACACTTAATGTTAAGTGTTAATGATAAACTGCAGACAAGGTTTAAGTTCCATGATATTAGGTTGGCTCTGGCATTTCTTTCCTTTCCGGATTCTGGATTTGCAATTATTTTACTCAGAATTTCTTTTCTTTAGCTGTTACATTCTGAATTATTGCAAAGCATTTAATACCATTTGGAATTTCAGTTGCTTCAATCCTTCCTAAAGATAAGCTAACATCTGCATGAAAAATAATTTAATCAACAACATACATACACTTGTTTGACATACACCTCTTAAAGTCTTAGCAAACATTCCAGCACATCTCTTTTCAGTATTCATGAAGAAGCAGGTTTCCTTCTTCTGATCCCAGATCAATAAACTGTGTGGTACTTAGCTATAAAATATTTTTTTCTGCAGGAAAAAAAACCCAAAATATTTTCAGACCAGTTCATGTGCTTTGAAAATCTTATATTCGGGTGAAAAAGAGCTTCACACATGATGGCTTTCTTCATGTAAAGCTCATACAACCAGCTGTTGAGTGTGTAGCTTCGTGTGATGTATCACTCTTCTCATAGTGGGGCTTGGATGGACAGTTGATTTGATTTAACACATTGCTGCTGCCACAAAGAGACTATTTTGCTCCCACTTGGGAAGGACCTTTCCTGTTTCTTGCTCTAACTCTGCTTATCTGGTGGTGTTATACATCCTTGGTGATCTGATTCAGACCACTGAGCTGGCAGGGTTGGTTTGTTTATATTTTTTGTGGATAAGATTCCTGGGGTAGTGGGCTGACCAAGTGGGTCAGGCAGGCGCAACTCGGTGGCTGCATAAGCAAGTGTGGAATTTCGGGAGGTGGAGGGGAGAGACCGTGTTCCTGATGCATACAGTTGCAGCCAGCTGTTGAATCGCTTGCTTGTCACGTTGACTATGCCATTGTCCCTGTGCTAATTTTCAAGATGGTGTTATCTGAGCATGGGAGGTATTATTTTTTGGACTCTGTTTCTTCAAAAACATTTTTTTCAAAATATGCCTTGTCAATGGCGTAGGATACTTTGTGTATCTTCCCTGTAATACAGATACAGCAAACACTGACCAGTTCGGAAGGTGACCTGAGCTATAATTTAACTTCCCTAATTCATTGGCTGCTGCTAGTATTTGCTTTTATAACAGTTACTGTAAAAGAAGCCTGTTTTCAGCTTTGGATAATATCCCTACTTTGCAAGCTTCCCCTGTGGAACAGAGAAAACTTTGGACTCTGGTCCTCCACACTCATATGGATAAACTAGTTTTTGTGGAACTAAGGTGTGACGCTTGTTGTGTAAGAGCTGTAAGTCCATCATAATTACGTAACCTATTTTTGAAGTAACAGCTTAAACTTGTAAGGCTATTTCCAGTGGATGTGTGAAACATACTGGTATGAATGATGTGTTTTGAAGTGCCTAGGAATGTTTTATTTCAAAGGTGATACCTAATATATATAATCCTAATTTTAAAATATTTTCCTATTGTTTTTAAGAGTACCATCTAAAATTATTGTTTAATATTAGTTTAGAATAAAATATTTGCTCAGTGTTCTCAGCTTGTTACCTCCAGGTATAACTGGTTTCTCTAAAGACTCATGTTCTTTGTAGATTTTAGGCTGAGCAACAAGGGAAATTTTAAAATTCATATTCCAGAAAGCTTGGTCTGGTCTGGCAGTTAACAAAATAAATCTTACCTTTTAATCTTGCCCTTCTCAGAATGGCATTTATGTTTCCCCCCCTTGCCCCACTCCTCCCCTCTTTTTAGTTCCTTTATGTTGAATTGAAGGTTGGCTAAGAAACTCAGGGTTGGTTTTTTTTGCAGAATGGTTCTGCTTAGTATTGTTTGACTAGCAAAAATTGAACTTCATTAATGCAGGAAAAAAATCTAGCACCCTGTTCAAGATGCAAGATCTTCCTATCTTATCTTGGTAAGAAGATCTAGATTGTCCTTGATTTCATATAGATAAGTATATCTAAAGTTGGAAACTCCGTCTTTGGCACTTATGACTTAGAGAAATTGTATTGCTGTGGTGGTGGCTTGGGGGCAATACATTAAGAAATAGGTAGCAATTAGTGAAATGATACTCTCTAGGTAGCATAATAAATGAAATGTATGATTCCTAAAGTTATAATTTGATTTTTTTTTTTATTCACCATGACAGGAGAATTCCATAATGATGTGTGTAACAAGTACATTTACAGCAGGCAGTTCCTTCAGATCCACTTTTTAACGTCATAGCAGTGTGGTTCACTGACTTGGGGATCTGAAACTTAATGATGACTTTTGTTTATCCTTAGCTTCTGGGTCATCTTAAGTGTATTTTGAGAGCATTTGCTTGAAATGCTAGGGATGGAAACGTGGGAATTATGTTTTTGACCTTACTTGCATCTTGTATCAGCTACTGGGCAAAGCCAAATTAAATGTCTCGCAGTAGAAATGCTTTAATGCATTAACTGGGTGGTGACACTAGGCACATACAGCTTTTCACGTACAGAAGAATTTTGCTTGAAATACTTTGCTTGTCATATAGTACATGTCTCTAATTAGAGTGTTTTTGCGCACAAGTTCTAGTGGGGTAGCTAATTTACTTTTAGTTTAAATGGGAATATTGTATAGTAGTTGTCTGTCTTTGATCCTTGTCAGCTGGTCTGTGTCCAGCTTCTGAGATTCTTGTTGGTTTGCATGCTCTCTGGCTGGATTACAGTTGATCTTTTTTGTAAATTACTTATTTTCCAGTTTTGTCCTAGACACATTTCTAGCAAAAATAGGGGATTTAAAAGAATAGAGAAAAATTAGTTTGTCATTTTGCAACTGAAGCAAACTCAAGTATTTTATTTTTGGAGCATGGAAGCAAAGTTAACGTCTATGCTATGGCTTCTTTCATGAAGTGTCGGAATATTTTATTTTTGGTTTTATTGGCCCTGGTCTTAACAGCTGCTGTATTGTGACCTTTGGTTTGTTATACAAAAGTCATGTTTCAACTGTGCAAGTGTATTCCAGTCACTTAGTTTTGCAAGGAAATTAGTATAAAGGCAAGTACGTGTGTATTAATAAAATTATCTTTTTTAAAAACTAGCATTTTTGGGAATGATTTTAGAATGTTGTACTTTACTTAAATTTGTTTTGGAATAGATGGAACAGAAGGACTGAGTAGCATGGAAATTACAATCCAACTGAAATGAAAGGAAAAAAGTTGTAAATACCTATTTTTGATTTTTTGTTTTGGAATAAAAGGAACAGAAGGACTGAGTAGCATGGAAATTACAATAATTTCCAACTGAAAGGAAAAAAGTTGTAAATACCTATTTTTGATTTTTTTTTAATATAATTTTATATTTAGCTATGGTTAGCTATAGTTCTATTTTGCTGAGGGTCATCCATGCCTTAAGAAAAATGCATATGTAGGTTATCTTTTGCAGATTTCACTTACTGATTCCACTTGGTGTTGAAAATGTTGATGCTGAAAAAGTGTTGAGATGGCTTTTATTTTATAGTCATGTGATTTTATTAAACGACCAGAACATACGAAGATCTCGGTTGCTACAGCTGGAAACCAGAGAGTTTAAAACTTTTTTTTTCCCCCCCTCCTCTAGATTTTCAACTGAATTCTCACCTATCAACACTGGCAAATATTCACAAGATTTACCACACCCTCAATAGGCTGGTAATGACTTGCCATTTTCTCTCAGCAGAATAGCTAGGGCTTTAGTCCAGAATGTTTTGTGATTGAAATCATTAAGTGATTACACTTTTAAAACTATGACTGCCTTTTTGTATGAGAGCCTGTTGGTTTTGAATACATTAAGAGATAAGCAGTATTAGTAAAAGGTGACAGATTGTACTCTGGGGGTCAGAGTGGAGTTTGAGCACTGTTCACTGCAACATTGGATTTAGATGTTGTTTCCATAGAAGAAGCTTTCCTAGATTGATCAAATAATTGTAATCATCATCGTTATCCAATTTCTTACAGTTCTTGTGGAAAACATATTGAATGAGCAAGCTGTCCTCTTACAACCATGCAAAGAGGGAAACAAGATTTTTTTTGAAGCCTGTTTCTGCTTGTTTGCTGTGCATTTACATTTGTTTTATTGCAACCATAGCTGGAAATGCCAATATGGTTTCTGTTTGTACACTGCAAATTTAGTGGAAGAGGCACTGCCTAAAAAAAGGGTTAACTTGTTTCCAAGATTTCAGTTGCTTTTTAATCAGTTTTCTTTAGAACACGTACGTGTGTTTATCCTTAAGCAAAGCCATTTCTGTGGTAAATGGTAAATTCAGTCTTTCTAATGCTGCATTTATTAATGGAATTGTTCAATACAACAATGCGAAATTCTCCATCCAATGGATAGTTATTTCCACTCTTGAAACATAGTTTGATATGTTTTTGATAAAAAAAATTCAAAAATATTTTTAAAATAATTTAAAGATTATCCTTGAACTTTTTAGATAAATTTGCAAGGGTAACTTTTTAGAAAAATATGAACTGAAAACACAAAGGCTTTGCAGTCTTAGCTAGGTGCTCCTTAATTAATTAAGATTAATATTAATATCAAATAAAGGTTAAAAACATTACTGAACAATGAAGATCACCATCTTGTTTAACTGTATCATTCCTACTCTCTTGCAGAATCTGACAGAGGACGTTGGTCAAGACGATCACCAGACAGGTATTTAATAGGGATGTAGTAGAAATAGATTGAAACAATTTAAACGTGCTTCATCAAAGTCTCTCTGACATCACTGAAAATTATATTTGAGAAAGCTAAAGGAGTTTTAGAAAACAAGTGCCAGGATTTTTTGAAGTTTTCTTCAAAATAGATGTTCGTGCTTTTAATTTATCCAGTTGTGAAGGACTTGCACAGGTTTCAGCAGTATCTGTCGTTTTACTATTTCTTAGCGTAAGTACTTTAGAAGACTTCATGAAAAATTTCTCTCACTCCTTGGACTCAACCCATTAGACTAGCAGAATATCCGTGTTCTTACAGCGTTTTGACTCTTGAAAGAGCATTAGTGAGAACAGAGCAGAAGCAAGACCTCTTGTGGCTATTGTGATGCCTGTGACCGAGTTTAAATGCTGTGCTCCAAACAACCCAGCTTTTTTCTTGAGTGGTTTTGATGCAGGTTGTTCCCGTTTCTTGTGCAGATTTTCAGTCAGTGTCTAAGGGCTATTTATTAGCCCAAATCTGTTTTCTGTTCAATAAAACGTCACTGGTTTTTGAGGCCTTCATCTCAGGTGCCTGGTACTAGCTTGCTCCCATTCTTGATTGATCAGCATTTGTGCTTTGTGACTTGATATCTTGCAACATTTGTTACCTCCTTTTGCGCTTGCTACTTATTAGCCGGCGTCTTCCTTGATTTCTTTCTTCCTTCCTGTGTTTCAGGCATGATACCTAAAGAGGAAGGAAAATAACTTAATGGCTTCAAGCCCTGATCACTCAGCAGAACTGTTCTTTAAAACTGACCATATCTGTCCTACCGTCTGTCTCAAAGTTTTTCTCTATCCTGAGGTGCTGGCTATGTTTGCTGATGTTACCTTGAGTGCTTAAGAAAGTGGAGAGAGCTGTGAGCTTCTGGAGATTTCTGGGACATACTTACAAATCTAGCACACTCTTAGCCTAGAGCAATGAGAAGAGATGCATAGGACTGCATTGTTTGGGATCAGACAGAGCTCACTCGGGGCTGATGTACCCTCCTCCATGCTGTGACAGGTGACTTTGTTTCCTAGTTGAACTATCTATCAAATATTTTCCTTCAGTGTGGTTAGTGATTTGATACTTGAAATTAGCTGATCATGTAAATGAAAAACATCTGCAAGAGAGGTTGAGGCAGGTAGTTTAAGACAGTCAGAGGTTCTATTGTTGGTATGTTAGAACTGATGTCCTCTCCCATCTCCTGATGGAGACTTGGAATTTTCCCCTTTGTGATCCAGGTGCTCAGACTAAACACAGATACGTACTGATTTCATGTATGAAAATACATTCCATAATCTTTGTTTACTTTTGATCACAAAAAGCTGCTGTGAAGTGTTGAGGTAGTCCCTTCTGTCACTAATCAATCAATAAGAGTAGGCATGCTTAAGGTATTTGGGATTTGTCTTATCTCATTTCTTGCCTAGTGCTTCTGTCATAAAGGTCAGTATAAAAAATAAGCCTCAGAGCTCTCATTATCTCTATTGGAAGGTGTTTGAGCATGTTACTAGTTTTGATGAACTGTTTTATACTGACACTCATGGTTGTCCTATTGCCTGCATTGCGTTGTTCGAATTAAGCTGTTTCAAAAGCTTAAACATGCCCATCGAATGAGTTTGGGCACAAAATCCCAGTAGAGAGTGTAGTTTTTTATAACAGTTGTAAAAGAACCGTTCAAACCAGGAACAAGTATGAAATGAGAACCAAAAGTAGAGGTTGATACTGGCAGGCTCCTCATCTTCAGATTTCATTCCAGTATTTCTTATACTTTTGCCCTGTTTTATGTCTACTTGTACAAGAAGATGAAGCCCCAATGTTTGCCTAATTTCCAGGCGAATTCAATCGAAATGTGTGCTTGGTTTTCCTCATATGAGGACAAATACACATGCAAGGAGCTATTTTGGCCATTGTGAATGTAGTACAGTGAAGTGTCCTGTGTCCATTTTGTATGGGACTTGACACTTCTGAAACATCTTGTTGGAGAGCCTTATGTAAATCTAAAAAGAATTACTTCTGCAAATTGCTTGATTTCAATGTGCCTAAATTTCTGGAACTTCTATTTCCAGTATTACTGGCTGCATAGGAAGAAGTGTCAAGACCTATTAATTTTGTTACACAATTTATAGAACTGCATAGATGCTGTGAATTTGGGATTCTGTCCAGAACTCATTTGAAAGTCATGTTAATAGCTCTGTTGCAAAAAGATTCTTTGAGTGTTGCCAAACCCATCTAAAGATGATTTTTTAGTTTTGAGGTGGGGTTTTTTTGTTGTTGGGGTTTTTTTTGGTGGTGTGGTTTTTTTTTTCACACTGCATCTTTTGGAGCAAGCCTTATCCTTAAAGATTACTATTTGTTTTTTGACATAACTATCCTGGTTAATGTTATTACATTGTGGGTCCTGCTTTTGGGATGACTTAATAAATGCATATCTAAATTCGGTTGAGACTTCTAAAAGCTATTTAAAAAACCCAAGTATTTCAATTTTAAGTTAATATTTATAGTGAGCTTTTAATGCATATTACATTTATTTCAAAACGGCTGTTTCTGAGCTAACAATAAATGTACTGGACATCTGAATTACTTCAAGCAAATTGTATCTTTTCTAAGTATTAGCCAGATTTCTTTTCTGGAACCAGATCTGAAATGTCTAAGAGCTAGAGGGTGGCAGTTTCAAAATTCCTTCAGTGATTTGGGAGCTGAGATGGACCTCAGTTCAAAATTCCAGTCACCTGTAATGATTAGTCTCATAAAATGTGTTAGCATTCAGTGTGCATATAAATCTGAAAAATAAGGTAGGCTGTAAATGTGTCATGGGCCTTTGCCTTTTCAGCTGTTTGTAGGGGTCAGAAAAGCAGGCATTCAGATTCTGTAAACAATTTCTTTTTCTTCTAGTATGTATATGCATTAACTTGGAAAACTCTTTCTCCAAAATTTGAAATAATAGTTGTTTTTATGTCGTAACTACAAATACAGCAACTTGTTAATAGCTTAAAGTCATGGTTTGGTTATTAATTTGTGACTTATTTACCTATCCAGACTAAAATGTCTTTAAAAGTAAAAGTATGCTTCCTGTTGCCACCTGGCTTGTTTAAAAGAACGAGGTAGTCTTCAACAAAAACAAGGCTTCATTGCTGTTCCTGAAGCGGGGGGGGGGGGTCTACTCTTTTCCCAAGGGGGGGGGGGGGGGAGAATTACTTTTGCCTCTACTATTTTTTTGTTGCTTTAGAGAAGAAAACCCTCTTGAGTCCAAAGCAATTCTGTAAAGTGGAATTCAAGATAGAGAAGATGATTTGTCCTTTTACAAAATCGCAAGTTGTTTGATGTTTTGATGAGTATCTTAGTTTTCTCATCTTGTATCTGAAAAATGATGATTGTTAACTGTGCTTGTGGTGGTCTTGTTGCATCATTAAGCGAGCAGCTATGTCTTTCCAATTGCTTCAGCATTCACAGTTTCTAATTATTTTTCCTTTGAAACGTGCCTCTACTTAAGCATCAGAAGAGCAAGATTATTCACAGGCATTATCTAGAGAGAAGGTGAAAATTACATGTCTGTAAATCACTTCTATAGGGGCACAGCTTGTAGAATTCTTACTTATTGACCTCTGTGTTCTTTTTTTTGTTTGTTCTGGTTTTGTTGCTATTCTAGGAGTGTCCCTCCCTTGTGGGGATTATCTTGCATATTGTTTTAAATTTCTTAGGGTGAATTTTAGCGCTTGAGTTGATATTTCCCTTTGGTAGCTTTGTCTCCTGCAAAGTGTCTCCTGTAAATTTGGAAATACTGAATAGAACGTTTGGCAAACAACATTTATACTCGGCAGGCTTTTGGCTGATGGTGGCCTATTCAGCAGCCATTTGGAGGCTCTACCTTGCAAATGCTAGCTTCAAGTGTCAAAAAAACAGTGAGAACTAGGAGGGTTCTGCCAATCTTGAGTTGAGACCCAGGAGTAAGAAACTTTGAAGATAATCACATCAGAGAAGCTGCACTTGGTAAGTAAAGTTCCTGTCAAACTTTGCATGAAGTCAGAGGGAGCTGCATGTTCATTTGCAGATGATCAGACCTTTGAGAAATGAAATTAGTTGTGAAAGGCTAGACCTAGAAATTACATTTAGAATTATAAAGCTCTGTGTAGGAAAGGTTAATATTAATTACTTAGTAAGCTATACTGTAAAACAAGAAATTGCAAGAATTTAAACAAAAAACCCCAACCTCTGATAGCTTTTTAGCTTTAGATGGAAATAAAAGATAGAAATATTCTGCTGGTTTAACTTCAGAGTTTGTCACAGGGAAATTATAACTGTTGTTCAAGTTCAATATACTGATTCCAGTAACAAAAGGAAATACTGCTAAAGTAACATTCTTGTACAGTGTTTTTTAGTAGTTTAGAGATCATTCAACAGTTAAAACATAGTGAAGACTTGGTCCAAACCTCAGTTATTAAGATGTTGAATCTCTGAAAGCATGTACGATACGTTTGTTCACCTGGGGGGGGTGTGTGGGTGTGTGTGTTTGTGTGTGAGTGGGGTGTACATGTGCATTTAATAGCCACTTACCAATTTCTGAGCTATCTCTTTTCTTCCCTTTTCTGTCAGTTTGAGAGCTGCAACTAGATACATTCAAACCAAGAAAGGGCACAAGTTTTTCATGAGTCATTGGAGAAATTGGGTTATAATGAATTCTATTACTGGTTTAAGCCTTTAAAACAAGTTCAGCGATCTTCCTAAAAATGTCATATCATTTCATGAGGAAAAGGCTTCAAGCAGGAATTCTTGGGTTAAATTCTTTGGTTTGTATTGGGTTGCAGATCTGACAAAATGATTTTCCTGTTCTATAACTGTTCTATTTTTATATTTATTTTTATTTATTTTATTTTCATCTTTTGCTGTGCTTCTCTTTTCATAGAGGCCTTGCATATGTCTTTTCCCAATCAAATAACCAGTAAACTGGACAAACCCTGGGGGGGTGTTGGTGGTTTTTCTTGCATTTTACCAGCATCCAATGCCTGTGAGCATCATAAATAGATTTTTTTTTTTTTTTTAAATAGGCATTTAAAAACAATCAAATTGCTCTCAAAGGAATGAGATAGCTACAGGTTGTACTCAAGTACATACATATTTTCCAAAACAAGGTGTTCATTAGCACACGTTTTCATTTATTAAGCTTAGTGTGTGTCTGAGTCGTGTTGGCTGTCTCTAGCCATCTGTTAAGTTCTGCTGTCATCTGAAATGTTTTTAGTTTGTGTAGGTTTTCAAAAAATACTTACTGGCAGAGTTTAGAAACTTGATCTAAAAAGCCATAAAGCATCATACTTTCAATAACTTTTGGGAATACAATTTTGCAGTATCATTAATTTGCAGGCATAATCAGATGGAACAAATGACATTCAGCAGGTCAGGTTCCTTAGTTTCTTTAATCTGGGTAGTAAAATGTATCGGGTGTATTGTGAGTTTTTGGTTTCTGGCTTACCTGTTTCAAATATATCTGATATTGGTGAGAAGAAGATAAATATTGTTAATTTCCTTTTGTAACATTCTGGACAGTGCTTCTGGAAGTATATTATTCTGACACAGCCATTACGATTTTTTCATGTGATAGTAGTTTATGGAGTATAATGCTTGGAAGTTTTTTGATAACTAGTTAAATTATAATTTGAATTTACAATACTCTTAAAACTTTCCTTCTAAAAGATAGTGTAGGTATAGCTATACTTTCCTGGAAGGATGCTGGGGTGGGGGAGCTTCAGGGTTTAAAAAAAAAAATATATATATAGAGGAAGAATTTCTGAATCGGAAAGAGTATTTCTTGAACTAGAGAGATTAATTTTCTTCTTAATAGAAATGAATATAAAGTTAAGACCAAAGAAGGCATACGAAGTACAAAAGCTTTATTAGTTGAAACCAAATTAGTTCATCTTGATGTAAAAACTGGTTTGAACATCTTGCCTAATACTAGAAAAATCCATACTTTCATATGCATAATAGTTTTAGTGCATGTTTAAAAAGTACATGTAGCAAAGCCTGTGAGGCTGTAAGGTTCCTTACATGTGTTTCTCCTATAACAGGAGAGAGACTTTCAAAGATACGAAGAATAGGTAAGCAAAAGATTGCCGTTAGTATTTGTTGGGAACTGGGCCTCTGATTTCAGTCTGCTCCCTTGGTGTCAAAAAGTAGTCAAAGTTTTATTTCTTGCTTCTGTGCTGTGATTTAAAACAAAAGATTTTGTGGGCATCTTAATAAAGCATAGCTAAACTTGGATGCTGTTGAAGTGAAGAGAAGGTAGCTTTAGGCATGCTGGAGTTCTTCATATTTTCTTGCAAGTTTCTTTGGCATCGCTTTGTGTCTGGATTTTTATACCTCACCTCTCTTTCTTTCCTTTTAAAATTCTCTGTGTAACACTTGGAGCTTTGATAGCTCCTTGAGCTGCTCTTACACACACCTTTCTCAGGTGTCAGTGTGGTCTTCAGTATATGAAAGTAGGACAAAATTTTGCCTGGAGTGTTAGCCTACTGTTTTCCTGAAACAGCAAAGGCAATTTAATGACTTGCTGTGGTCAAAGGGGCTGGTCCTGTGCTCTTTCTTGTGCTAATGTACAGAAATTTATTATTCTTTTTTGCTTGGGTTAATTATCTACAGGTTTGGTGAGCTGGATTGGCACACTGAAGAGTCACCAGAGACATAGGAATACGTAGCTGAGAGAAGGGGAGGGAAAGACTGCCATTTGATTAGTGTTAGTGTCTTGAATTGGCTGTTTCCTACTTGGGGACCTTCATTCTTTGAGAACTATCCAGTCCAAATGATACAGCCAGAGAGAAGTATCCAGTCCAAATGATACAGCCAGCCACTTACTTTTTTCCCCTAATGGTTGCAAAAAAAGAAAATAAACAAAAAAACCCAAAACCAAAGAACAAACAAACAAAACCTTTCCTATCCCTTGCTCTCCATATTACAAAAAACTTGGGGTTTAAAAAGGAAAAGGTTCTGTTTACTAGAGGTAGGTGCTCTAGTTTTTGAGTCACATCTGTATTTCAAAAAGTAATTAACAACTTTTAGAAGTTCTGATTTGAATAAATGACTAAAAATAAGGATGCCTTTCTGAGGACTTAAATACTTCTTCAGGATAGTCTCAGTTCTTGCCTTTTGTTAGACTGAGGTAGCACTAGCACTACTGTACAGTTTGGTGTAGTAATTTTGGCCTTAACTGAAATCTGGTCATAGAACACCATGTAAAAGTGAGATGGATTTTGCTATTGAAAGGAGACCATTTCTTTTGTAATTTTTAAATCCACTAACTTCTTCCCTTCCCTTCCCTTTGTAATATGCCTATTAGTGGACACAGTTTGACTGGTCTGCAACAGTTTCATTTCTTGTACTGGTGTTTTTAATTCCCTCTGTAGGAAGTCTCCGGTCTTGCAGTTCATCAGACTGCTTTAGTAAAGTGATGCCTCCAAGGAAAAAGAGGAGACCTGCAGCAGGAGATGATTTATCTGCTAAGAAAAGTAGACATGATGGGTATGTCATCTTACCATGAGCTAAGACTGATGGAATATCTAAAGTTGAATAGCTGATATGATCGTGTTTTTAAATACTAATGGAAATGGTATTCAAATTTGCTTGGTTTCTCAATGTGGAACCATAGCCTGTGATTGAACTGTGGGATATTGATAAGCACATCTAGGTGCAGTTTGCATCTCACCTTTTTCTAGTCTACAAGGAGCTTGTAGGGAACTTCTCCTTGCTCTAGTTTGCCAGCTGTCAAAATAGACATAATTGTTTGTTCAAAAACAACTTGCAAGAGATACAGTAATACCTTCCTGTATACATGCATAAGATCTGGATTGGGTGTTCTCAATCTACAGCTTGTCAGAAAAGTGAATGTAGTTGTAGTCCACTCAGCTCTTACTTGAAGTCCTCCTAGTCTCTCCCTGTCATGGTGTGATTTGATGCTGATCACGTAAGAGAAGTGTGAAGATTGCCTAGGCAAGGTGATAGCCAGTGGTTGGGTGGTGATTGAGGCGGTGCTGCTCAGTTTCCCACTGGGCAACAGAAGCGCAAGTGAGTTATAACTGTGCGGATGAGCAGTGTATTCTTTTGGCATAGGTGTTGCGTAGCTGAGACTTCTGCAAGTGTTGGATTTTCATTATGTGTATGTTCAGTCAGCCTCAGTCATTCAGAAACTATTGAATGTGCTCCTTGTGTGTAAGACAGTTGCTATTTATGTGCACTAAATTCAGAACTTGTGGGAGTACAGAACTGTACACTCCTGCATGATAGGTGCAGGACTGTCCTGACGTTGAAAAGTGACGTATACAGCTAGAAAGTTTGGTTGCCACTGCGTCAGTCAGTAGAATTTGAGCTCTGTTACATTCATGTATTACCGGTGACTCAGAAAACACATGCTTCCATAACAAGTATCTTCAGAAAGGTAAAAAGATGCATTTCTTTCCTAACTGTCAGCCTGAAATCAGGCTGGGTGCTTTCCTTTTTATTCTCTAGCATGAGTAAGAAAGATGCTGGTAGCCAAATTAAGCCTCTGGTTATGCCTCTATAACTCCATTGTGTTTAATAGGGTTGCACAACTGTAGCTGCACTGGAATTTATTAAATGATCTGTTGATGCAGAAGGAGAAAGAGATTTCAACTCTCCCTTTCATTGCTTTGCATACGTAACACTAGCAAGAACAAAAAAGCAATACGTGTTCTTAATATCTTGTGTTGCTTTTCAGAAATAATGAGATGTAAAAGCTAAATAGTTGATAGAGGACATTACAGTCTATTCAAAGATACACATACAATATGGAAGCGAAATGAGGACAGAATGTTTCTAGAATCTAAGTAGAGAGGTTCACAAAATTTAACTCTACCTCCCTTTGCCAAGACACTGATAAAACAAAACAACCCAAACCCCCTAGAAAGTAAGGTTGTCTGTAAGTAAGAGATACTGATTTGTGTAGTTCAAATAAGAAAATGATGAGAAACTGATTTCTTACTCTATCAGTATTTTCTATATATAATATTTTTTAAAAGCTTTTTGAAAGCATAATTTGAAGGATTTTTTTTTTTATCTGCCTTTCATTTATAACTAATGGTTCTAGTCTTCATTCTACTGCCATGTAAGGCTTTATTAAAAGGAAGACCTCAGCCTGCTTTTAGAGGTGCAGGTGAAACCAGATCTGCCAGTCATGGGCCAGAGGGGACTATCCTTCTCTGACGTGGTTCCAATTTTTGTCTGTCTTCCTTCTTAACTTATAAAGGATTTTGGGCTTTCTCTGCTTCCCAGCGTATAAGTTTCTTTTGTTTTGGTCTTCAAGAAAACAGTTTTTATTTCAGCATGACTGGCAATATGAAATAATTTGCTGAACATTCAGGACAGTCTTGGAGCTCTATTTTCTTTCAAGGAAGGATTTCTTCAAATTTGCCTTGTGCCCCTGTAACCTTCTGTAAACAAGTTAGACAAAGAGCAAGCTGTCTCCTACTTCTATGCTTGTTTGTCAGGCGGAGCTCATGCCTGTCATGTTTGGTCTTTGGAGGTCAGACATCTCAGTTTGTCAAGCAGAAATGAATCTGAAATTGGGAACCTCTACAGCAGTGTGCTGTAGCAGACGTAGTTATTTTGCAAAGCCATTTCCTCTTACATTGTATGCAGAGAATGCTGTATACAATAAAACCAGTATGGATAGTACAGTGCCAGTTTATGGAATAAGGGGCTTCTAGGCCCAGTTCTTTACCATTGCTTCTGTTTTAGAGGCAGACTTCCTAGAAGCTCCATACTAGTAACTCAGGATAAGCCTTCAAGGGACATTAGCTGGTGTGGATTCTGCATTAAGCGAAAAAGGCAGTCACTGTCTGTTCTTGAATGTCTACTTTCAATGAAAAAATACGATGTGTGCTCTCCAGAAGAGACTGTATTTCCTAACAGAGATGATTTGTCACTTCAAATGCTTATGGAATGATGTAAGTTTTGTATGTTTCTCAGTTACAGTGGCAAACTTACAGGGGCAACATTAACAAATAAATTCAGTAATTGCGAGTCTCCTGTTTGCTTTCAGTACGAAAATGTCAGGTAGTAGTCTGAGGATTATCAAAGAGGTGTCATCATTAACAGTGTTATCACAGCTGAGGCCAAAAGTTGATGATTCCTCCTGGTTTGTCCATACAAAGGAATTTTTTTTTTTTTTTAATCCTTACATGGATAGTTTTGTTGGGTGATATTTTCAGTCTTCACTATTTGTGGTGTGTTCCTATAATCTCTTCAGCTATGATAGTAATATTTTTGAGGTATGTATTCTTTCCAGAAAGTTTATTTCAGCAGGGCTCTGCTGAAAGAGAAGATGATTTCTAAAGGCTCTTGTACTCATAAACTTAAACACATCTGATACCAGGGAGCTTGTGATAGCCTTCACCCTCAGTTCCAGGCTGTTAGGGATACAGCCTCATCTTGGAAGGGTTAGTGGAATAATGACACTGGCTATTGAGGAAAAACATTTGTAGGAACAAATCCAGTTAGTGAAGTTAAATGGAAATGCTGATCTCATATTCTTTAGCATCCCATCCTTATATAATAAGAGCTTGAATTCTGTTAATTAATGTTCATAATGTCACCTTGAACCATGAATGCAGTGTTTCAGTGGGAGGGAATTTTTATACCAGATGATGTATAATGAAGAGAACTCGATGTATTCATTTCTGGATCACAGTAAGATTTATCCTGTCTTAAAGAATAGCTATTGGAAGTAAACAGTTTAGCACACACTCACCAGAACATAATGACTTGAAGACTTAGTTTGTATTTTCCTCTCAGTATCACAGTGTTGACTTTATTGTACTTCCAACTCTCACAGTATAGGGTATTCTCAAATTGGAGTTAAAAATACGTTTTCTGTACATTGCTCTTCCATCACTGTGTAAAGGGTCTTAGGAAAGGTAAAGCAAGTTTCATGTAAAGGTATTTGCTAGGTAAGAATACAGTCCTCACTGTGTAATCATCTAACAGCGTGTATCTGTTACACAATCTCTAGCCAAATACTGGCTTTTTCCTTAGGGAAAAATGAGCTGTATAATGTAATGTCTTCTTTCTGATAGTCTCATTTAAAAAATAATTCCTCTCCTTATTCCAGAATCATGCTGAGGGCAAAAATCTTAACAGTAATGGATATTTGGACCTTAGAAGGATGAAAACAAGGAATATTTATCTGCTTCCCTGAAAGTTATGTTTTCAAGTAATTAGATCTAGAGTCTAATTTATCCTGGATGTGTGTATGGACCACATAAGGGCCTATTAACATGAAAAATAGGTTTTCTTTATTGAGAAAATTCTCTGTAGTGGAAAAACATAAGTTTTGAAAACACAGTCAACACACTATTATTAACATGGGAAAGTAAAATGGGAGTGTACTAACTTTGGAAGTTTTCAAAACCTTTAGTGTTGAGAGGTTTTTTTGTTCTGTTGTCGTTTACTAACTTGTTTGGTCCTGCCCCATGCAGACAGCCTGTGTTACCAACTGTCATAGATGTCTAGACCTTATTCCTTGAAGTAGATACTTTCAGGTATGCACAGGTACAATTTTCCCTGTTTCTACACCTTTTCAGCGAACTTCACTTAATAGTTCTGAAGAAACTTAAACAGGACATGCGACTATCAGCATGTATGCTGTTATACATACTGCTCCTTAAGTAAGCCTGATGAAGTTCAAAACATGAATTTAAAAATTTAGAGATGATTGTAATTCTTTAAATAGGGAGGAATAAGACACATTAATTCATAAAACTTAACAGTCTAGTAAATTTGTCCTGAGGTTTGCTTTAGACAGTCTTTGTGATGCCTTGCAAATCATAGAACATCTCTCTTCCCCCCCGCCTTGTTTCTACTACAGTATTTATGAGACTATTGCTAAAATCATAATTGTGAATGAATAGGTAAGGCTTTATAAAAATACTTTAATTGTGCTGCACTGATGAAAATTCTTTGCCAAAATTTTCAATTAATTAATTAGAATTAATGGAAGTAGTAGGGGGCATCTTCTGCAATCAAAAGTTTGCATCTTTCAAAATATAAATAATCTGAAAGCAATTAGTTACTCAGTTTGAAGCTCAGACAAAATGAGGTAGAGGTTTTGAATAAGTTCTGGTTGCATAGAAACAAAGCTACTGTTGGTAAATTTCTTAATGTTTTCATTCAGTAAACACTGACCATCTGAAATGAGCAGGCTGTAAATCTTCATGAGGGGTTAACTTTTGACTTACCATAATAAACCGTACCTTCTTTTTCTTTTTTCTTTTTTTCTCTTAAATGAGCTATTACCAGCTTCCACAATCAAGAGAATATTTTGTGTGACTTAAACTCCATGCTTTCACTGATCTCAGTTTGAATATTCTGGAGCCACACAGCCCAGAGTTGCTGCTGTGGTAGATGGAGCTCTAACAAATTCCAGTACAGTTGAAGCATGCTCAGAGCAGGAGTAGATACCCAACTTTGAAGACTGCAGTAGATTGAAGAGAATTACCGTGACCTATTCTTTTTGCTGGCAGCGACCATGTACTCTTACGACACTTGCCTAGTCACCCCATAATAGCTGGATGGCATTTTCATGCTTTTGCTTTCCCACCAAATCAGTTACAAATGGAAGAAAATAATCTGGAAAAGATATGGATGATCGTGTATTTAAAGAAATATGAAAGGCCTAGACACTCAGGTTTTTTTAATTAGTTTGTTTACGTGTACCTATAGCACTTCCAATTATAAACTACATTGTCTCATCTTTATTGTAGGGATATTACAATTCTGTAGCTCGTAAGAATATTTCAAAGATAAGTTTGAAAATGGATGTTATGAGTCAGCTATTAGGTCATGATGGAGATGCGAGCATTTCTGAGGAAATAAGTTCATTTAAATGTGGCTAAGTAGTTGATACCACTTTTATAAAATTTAGGCAGGTTAATATCGTGTTGCTTTTTCCCTGCCCTGTCCCACATTCTTTCCTCTCTCTAGCTGGTAAAATGGCTGTTAGAAAGAGATAATAAAAAAGAAAAAGCTAAATGTTCCTTAAGGGGATATTGGTTATAATATAAAAAAACATTTTTTTGAAGTCTGTTGTCACTGTCCCGACACTGATAGTGTCATGCTAAACTAATAAAAACTATTATTTTTCTAGCAAAGATTTTTCTGAGTCACTGTACCTGCCTGTGTGTCTCATCTAAGAGACAAATATATACTCTTTGCCCATATGTATTTTTTTCTTTTTCTTGCTGTTCCTGAGGGGCAGCATGTCAGGGTTCAGAAATGGAAGGGTAATTCTAAACGCAAAGGCTTGGAGTTTGCTGTTGTCCAGTAGTGATAGGTATAGCAGACACTCTGGGAAAAAGTTCTGCACGCACCTTTCTAGCTCTGATGATGGAGAAAACACTCTTTAGCAATCCTGTTCCAGTGTCAGCATTCTCTGACAGTGGTACAAATTCTGGTATCAAAAGTACCAGGTGTTCTTATTGGCACTTCCTTTACGGAAGGTGTCTGTGGGGTTTTTACTACCCTCACG